TTTTCTTCCATGTATCCCATTAGTTCAGTGGTTCTCAAAGTGTGGTCCCGGCCAGCAGCATCAGCATTTTGTGGAGACTTACAGAAATGCAAACCCTTGGTCCCCACCGCAGCCCCAGCCAGAAACTCTGGGGACAGTGGCCCAGCAATCTGTGTTCTAATAAGCCCCGCAGGTGATTCTGATGCATGTAATGTTTGAGAACGCCGGCCTTCGTTCCATCTACCTAGACTGTGCTCCTCCTTTCTCACTTGCTGAATTCCTAGTTATCTTGTAAGACTGTGCCTTCCTGGCAGTTACCCTACAGTACTTTATCAAATCTCTTTTATAGCATTTATACTGGTTGTGTCTGTCTCCTTTTGAAGGTGGAGGCCACAACATAAATTACTTTAGCTTCTGCGTGCAGCTCCTACGTTGCTGTTGAGTTAATAGTGCAGGTGAATAAATGAATGTATGCATGAATGAAGGAAAAGAGCGTTACAGGAGGAGTGGTGATCAGTAAGGTCAGCTGCTGTGAAGAGGTCATGGAGAACAATGAAGGGAAAAGCTTTTGGATTTCACAGTAAAGCAGGTGTCGGTGACCTTTGAAATGCTTGCTTCAGCAGAGGGATGGCAAGAAGCCCAGATTGCTGGGAGTGAGGGTCTTCCAACATGATGAAGACTTGCAAGTTTCCAGACTTACTGTTTATCTGAACATGTGGTGGAAACAGAATTTTCTTGGGAGAAATAACTAAGTGACCTTAGGCCAGTTACCTTATTTCATTGAGCCTGTGATCTTGGAACACGCAATAAGAGTAATTCTGTGTGTTTTTAATTTTTTTGAAGGATTAGAGGAGATCATTGTAACCCCCTAGAATGATGCCTGACTTTTAGTTAGTACTTAAATGGTCAATTTATTTATCAGCCCCCCAACACACCATTTTTTTTAATCTAATAATGTTGATGGTATCCATTACCCTTTGTAAAGTTGTGTAAGATAGGAAATTGTTAAGGACACCCTATTTCTAGTCATCGGATAAATTGTGAGTAGCATTGGGTCTGGAACTAACATAGTTTTAGTTGAACCACTGATAGCTGCTTTGAAATTACATGGGATGTAGCTGGAAAAGTACCCCCAAAAGTGGTTGTCTTAGTTAAGCCTCCTTTAGGTACAAATTATGGAATCCTGCTTCAGGCAGACATAAAAAAGGAGAGTGAGGAGAGATTTCTTTGGCTCATGTAACTGAAAATTCCGGCCTTAACATTGCCATATCTGTGTCTTCTGAATCAAATCGTTATTATCAGTACTTGGTCTAAGACCATCTTGCAGCCTGATGGACTTCCATGTGATTCTCATTCTCAAGCATGTAGATTGGCTGCAAATTTCCAGGAAAGAGAAGACTTCCCAGTAGTTCTAACCAAAATCCTAGAGTCAGCCTCTCCATGCAGACTTAGGTCACTTGCCCATTCTTGAACCAGGTGCTGTGCCAGGGGCTGAGATATCCTGGTTTCCAGACCTGACTCAAGGAACACAACATTCTGGTCTGCGAAATAATTGATACTGTGTGTAGGGGAAGAGTGACTCCCCAAAGGGAAATCAAATTTCTGGTACCAGATTGAAGGGGAATAGATGTAAAGCAGGCAGAGCAGTTGATGTCATTTTATTGTATAGAAAAGTGCTTTTTTTTTTTTTTTTTTTGCACTGTGCTTCCAGCAACTCTAGGAGTCCCAGCTTAAACAAGTTGAATGGAAGAAGAGAATGACAAATTATTAAAAGTTCTCTAATCCACACGCACTCCAGCTTCATCAAGAATAGTTTTACTTTTATATGTTTTTATACCCAGTTTTTCTTAAGATTTTATTTGAAAATGAAATTTGGGGAATACCATTGGTATAGAGCAATTTAAGATGGTTAGACCCATAAAGTATAAAGGTAGGTGACCCTCTTTTCTCACTCCATTCAGCTGAACAAGTTCTTGCCCTACATTTTATTCACCCCATTGACCCAACTCATATTCCTAACCCCACTAAGACTCAGACTTCCGTCCTCCACAGTCAGATATAGGAAGATCATGACATGAGGCAGACTCAGTTCACCATTATTAGGATAACTTAAAAAATTGCCACTTAACCTTTGCCCACCTAGGCAACATCCCCAAAAGTTGTCGACAACTTGGTGACTTAGTATGATCCAGCAGTCGTAAGGCAGAAAATTTTGATACATTCAAGAAATTTGACAGATCATAATCTTTGATGATGTGTACATGTTGAAATTTGTAGTTGACACCTGCAAACTGGACAGTTTAATTTTTCAGTCCTTTGTCTGAGACTCATCTCCTAGATAATTGCTGCTTAAATCACACTCAGGTTTTTTCCCTTATCTACTGTTGACTTTCTTTAAATATCTGGGCTACCCTTTCATCCTCCATATCAGTATAAATGTGGCCAGGTGCCTATTTATGTAAATAAAGTTTTATTGGAATGCCAACACGCCCATTAGTTTAAGTCTTATCTGCTCTCCCTCTGTAACAGCAGAAGTGAGTACCTGTGAAACAGAACGTTTGATCCACAGACCTAAAATATTTACTGTCTGGCATTTTACAGAAAAAGTTGTTGATCCCTGCCATGTATTTATGTGGCTATAACAGTATTTCTCCTTTTTGACATGGTATATTTATGAAGAAAAATCAGGTATATTCTTACTCTCTGTTGTTCTCAAAAGCATATCTAGGGAAATGTTTTTGCTTTACCTTTCCACTTGTGCTCTTTCAGTTGTCTGAACAACTTCTCTTTGTTTCTGGAGCCTAAACACTTTAGTCCTCTTTCCCTCCTTAAACTGCCAGCCTTTTTTTGAGGAGCAGGAGGGAGAGGGTGACAGCTTTCCAACCAGCCCTCGAACACATAGGTACACACACCTGTGTGTACTTAATGCATGGCTGTAGGCACCAAACATGGGAACAGAAATCGAGACTTGGTATCATCTTTTTTCCCCTCTTTTTCCCCCTCTTTTGTCCCCTCTTCATTTCCTGTTTTGTCGTGATAGCAGTATAGTTGGTGAAGAAGTGTTTGATGCAGACCTGGAGGGGTAGATGAAGGGAAATGAGAGAGGAGCAGATTTCCCCTGACCTGGTCACTGGATTCTGTAAGCAGAGCAGCTTACCCATAAGAAGGCTGAGTAGTAAGGCTCTACTTGAAGAAGAACAGGGATAATAATACCCCATTCCTACATTTTTGCAGTGTAAATGCCCCATGGAATGAGAGAAGACTTCAATCCCTAGGCTTGTGAATCCCTTATCTTTCCCAAACGTTAAATTAATTTTTAAAGCTATTTATTCAAAGTTGACTTAACCACTAGAATAGGAAAGATCAGACAAATCAGCTACAAGAAATGAAGTATGAGGAAACCCGAACTCTTTGACAAAGTATTCCTGGGAGTAAATGTGTTGAATGAAGCCAGCGGGTAAATGATAAGGGCCTTTACACTGTGGATGTAAGAAAGCAATTTATCAAGAGTACATGAACTCTCTGGTGACCACAAGTCAGGAGGAAACGAGAGTGGAGGAGGAACCCTGAAAAAATACATTTGAAATACTAAAAAAAAGTGTGTGTGTGCGTGTACTTTTAAATACCTGCATTAATATGCAGAAATACGGGCATCTTCAAACGGGAGTTGCTCAGACTGCGCAGGTACAGGAGTCTATTCTGTGAGGGTCTGCAGTGCTGGGAAGAGAGGTTGAGAAAGCCAGGCAGTGCCTTTAGAACTTGCAAAAACCTTGGGCGCTCTCAGGTGTAGTTACGATTTGAGCCTGGTTGTTGTCTGATACCCATTTGCCTGACTTATGAGATTAGATGACCATCTTTCAGGCACACATGTTTATCTTTTTTAATCTCTGGAAGGTTATCTGTGTATAATTCTGACAGTTGATCTAAGGCTTTTGTGCTCTCTTAACGAGTTCAAAGCACCTCTCACTCATTATCCCATTAATCTTTGCAGCATCTCTTTGAGCCTTGTGGATGAGACAATGTTATCTTAATTGTTCACTGTAGAGAAACTGAGGAAAAATGTAATTACATTATCTGCAGCAGGGTTCCCAGGAGCTCAGATAAGGATGGGGACTAGAATGTATGACCTTATCTTGGCTTTTAGATCTAGATGTAACTTCTTAGACTTGAGGAGAAAAAGGCCTGAAGTGTTTACTAGGAGGATGGTCATCCTCAGTTTTCTGTACTGAGGTAACACCCCTGAAATACACAGAAATTCTTCCACTTTGATGTTTGTCATTTTTTGCCTATTTTCATCTGATACTAAACCCTTGTCAGAGCTGTTTATAAAAAGTGACCAAGTTACACCATGAATTCTTTTTTCTTGAACAGGCCAGTGAACATTAAACTAACAGGTAAATAACAAGAGGGAGAGTTGGAAGAACTACCTCTTGGGATAATCCCTGCTTGCTAATTTCACTTGAGTTACATTACGAGCCTTTATCCCCTCACATGGGGTTTTTTAACCCTGTAGTCTAAAAAGCATGCTCCTCTTCCTCTTTAAACCGTTCAAGTATGATAAGGGGTGAGTCTTATTCAGAAAACTGATATTGGTTCGGCCTATGCTTATGGCAGGAGTCCAGAATTGTTTGTCCCTCTCTTTTTGTTGAGGGAAGGGGGATGGAGGACACCATGGCAATTTGGGCTGAGCTATAGTTCAGTTGGCAAATTAAATTCGTCAGGTTTTCACGCATTGAGAAGCATCCTCAGGGGCTATCTTTCTGAAAGTCGAATGTGTTTTGTATTTGCTGTTGTCTGTAATTTATAGATATACCAAATCAAAAGGAAAAGGCAAAAGCAGGGAGGAGGTGGGACGAGAACTGTTTCTATTGCAAAATCTCACTTAAATATCTGTAGGCATGATCCATCTGTGGAAATGGAACCCTGATGACATCCAGTGACTTGTTTCTACTTTGTCTCTGCCCTTTCCCTCCATGTCTGTATTCCTGCCCACCTCTGGAACTCTGGTGGGACCACCACAGCCTTGGATAAGCTCAGCACGCAGCACCTGTACCACCCCACCCAGGTGGAAATCGTGCAGTCCAACGTGGTGTTCGACATCAGCAGCCTGATGCTCTACGGGACGCAGGCGGTGCCCGTGCGGCTAAAGATCCTGCTGGACCGTCTCTTCAGTGTCCTGAAGCAGGAGGAGGTGCTGCACATACTGCATGGTCTGGGCTGGACGCTGCGGGACTACGTCCGGGGGTACATCCTTCAGGTAGGGGGAGGATGGCGCCGCTGGTGTCCCGCCAGCTCCGGGACGGGTTGAGGGAGAAGCCTCGCCAACCTGGTCTCTTTCCTGCCCCTCACAGGCCTGGGTGTGCACACGCTCTTCTGATTAAGGTGGTCCCTTCGGCAGGCTTGTCAGAGAGCTGGAAAGAAGGAACTGTGTCCCAGCAGGCTGGCACTGGGCCTCAGGGGTGGATGGTAGAAAGGAACAAGTGGCCTGTTGCCTAGCATTGCTGTTTGCATCTTTTTAAACTCAGCTCTCTCTCTCCCTACAACGTGGGCCTCCTGCTTCTCCAGCAAGTCTCATTGTAGCCCCACTGAAGGGAAGGGCTCTTGGAGGTGGGTGACGTGTTTGTGAAAATCTGAGATTACATTTCTTCTGGGTTTAGTAGGGCTTTTGCTTGCACCGTATTTGTAGGTTTAATGTTTTTTTTTTTTTTGGTTTTGTTTTGTTTTTTTGGTTGTCTGTGTGCCCTAATTATTGCTTCTTCATCTGAATCAAAAGAACCATAACCTCTGTAAACTCTCTGCTTTTGTAACCAGTAAACCTCCACATTCCAAAACACAGACATGGTTGTAGAATTGGCTTTCACAACACCTGCTCTTCCAACCTGAGCTTCTTCTTTGTTATCAGTGGTACTTGCGACCTGGTAAGGGTCTTAAGACTTCTCCTGGAGGCCTGCAGCCTCCACTTCCCCCCACCCCAGCCTCCCTGCATTTTTCGTCATTTTTTGCAGTATGTCATGAGTCGCTTTGCATTGTGTACTTTGCCTCTGAAATGTTTTTATGGCCATCTGTCTTCCTACGACCCTTGAAGGGTAAATGTTGAAAACAGCATGTTGGGAGACCCCAGGATCCAAAAAGACTACACTGGACGATGAAGAAGTACTCCCTCCTGCCAAAGGAGATCACAGTTGGAGAAGGTAGAATCTGAAGTGATTTTTAAAATTTCTTGTGGGAATAATACCAGGAGAATTGACCCCCTTCAAAAAACAAAACAAAACAAAAAAAAAAACCCTGCTTTTGGCTCTGCCAGCCTTGTTTATTCTCCCGAATAACCGTGTGTTATGTGCAAGGTTTTGGCTGCCAGCTTGGTATGTGATGAGTGGAGGGCCTCACATCTCCCCCTTGCTTTAACCTGGCATAAAAACACATACATTCCTGTCATTCTCCTATGTGGTACCTCCAGGTGTTAGCCAGGGCAGGAGAGCAGAGGGGTGTGATGACAGGAAGGAGAGAGAGACACGACGGTGGAAGGACCCGTCTGCTCCTATGACTGCTTTGGTCGGCGTTGAATCATTGCTTAGTTTAGTGAGGTGTCAGCTTGGAAGGCACAGAGAATTTGGCCCTCAGAAGACAAGATGATGATGATAATAGGAATAATTATATATTACGTTTTTAGTTTATAGAAGACTTTCACAAGCATTATCTCATTTGCCTCAGGATGGGGGCATTTCGTGGGGTGAGTGGAAAGTTAAGTCCTGGGTGGTCAGGGGACCTGAGGGGGCATGAGGTCCAGAAGGAAGAGGCCAGGAAAAATAAAGCATGGTACCTGCTCATACTGGCCTGGAATAGATATGGTGCCACATCCTTCTACATCCGTTTCCACAGAGTAATTATTGATATCCATTTGGGATAGCTCTTACTCTACAGAAGGGAATAAAGCTCTTGCACATATTTGAACAGAACCGTTAGCGTGAACAGTCACTGTTAGTGACTAAGCACTCTTTATTCAAAACCTGTGATAGTACGCCCCAGTCTAGTACTACCTTTACCCCTTCCACTCTGGTGCTTAGTTCTGTCATCAGTGCTGTGTTTCAGTTCTATGTGTATGTTTTTGCCTGAGCTGTCTGGAGCAGACGCATGGTATCTTCCTGTCCAAACAGATGTGTGCATGACTGATTAGTTACCCTCTTAACAACCCAGTTCACTGTAGCATTTTGATGGCAATAAATCTGTAACCTGTGGGTTGTTCTGTGATACAGTCCTGATGTTTTGCCTTGACCAGTACCTGTTCTTTGTTTTACTTGAAATTATTATTTAAGTGTTAACTTTTCTCTGTTTCAGCCTATCTCTAAGGCATGCATAGAAAATGTACTTTGAAATGTACTCCATATTTCTTTTTGTGTGAGGGCCCAGGCTTTAACAATACAAAATCACAAGAGAAATTAAATATAAGAGGAAAATTCAGCAAAACCGTGAACTTAAAATTATAAAGTCTCTTATTTTAGGGTGAAATATTACATATGAAAAATTCTGTCATTTATTGTGATGCTTAAGTTATAATTAATTTTTATTAACTTAATATAGATTTTGACAAAGCCTAAACTTAATAAAATCTGCTTCTCCATTCAGGGCCTAGAATTGACATTTTGAGAAAATCATAGATGATTTTTACATTAGAAGAATACTAGGTTTAGTTTCTGTCTTGTTTTATTGATAGGATTGATGTAAAATAGATTTTACTTAAATGATGCTTTTTGTTCCTTAGCATTTATCATCTGTTTCTTTCTTGTGAAAATGGTTCTTGGTTTAGGGAAAAAGCAAGAGGTTGAAGGACACAGAGCGGTGTAGTGAGGAAATGCTCATTTTGTTTTAAAAAAAAAAAAAAACTCAAAAAACAAGAAATAGGCCATAGAAATAAACCCTTTTCCTCTAAAGCAATGTGATTTGGTTATTGGCCAGTATTTTAAAAATTATATGTAGTAATGATAAGGTATACACAAATGACTTTGAATATAATTATATGTAACATTTTCATGCAAGGAAGATGTAAACGGTGTGTCCAAAGGTTGTGGAACCCTGTAATGCACTGTTAGCATACAAGTCGTTCTATCTGGCTAAAACTCAATTGTCTTGTAGCCCTCAAGGCATCAATTTTAGCATTATTGCTCTCAACAACAGTATATTGAATATTATGTCAGTTAAAGGAGAATAATTATCAAGGCAAGTTAGGGTGGCTGTTAGTCTTACCACATATTGACTTGGTTAGCAGTTGGCTATAGATTGTGTTACTGGGCAAATGAAGATGTACGGTAAGTTGAACTGGTGAAGCCAGGATATTAATTTAACTCTCTCTGGGCCTAAACCTCCATCCCTTATGTATACACAGCTACTGCTGGTTTCAGAGATAGTTTTGAATGTGGAAGAATAGCAGGTGTCTGATCTGATTTTGAATTTTTGGATGTAAGGGAAAAGAGGAGCGTGTCTGAGGAGGTTATTAAAAGGAAAGAAGGAGGTGATAGTGATGGCCCAGATTCATTTAAAAGACTAGCAATATCTTTCAAGAATCCTGTGCTGTTTTGGTAAAAATGGCTTTTTCACTTCTGTAATTATCCATGTAATTTGTAAGTGAGCCAGCTAGGTGTAAAACGTATAGCAGAACTGGGACCACAGTGATTTTAGAATCCAGGTAACATCTTAAAGGTAGAAAACCCAGCATTCTCCTATGTGGCAATTAGAGTGTTCATTCATAAAGTACAGAAAAAGTGAGGTAAGTTTTAGGTTTTTTCCCACAAAACAGCAGAAAAAGAAAATAGGCAGTTAGATGCTAAAATCTAAAGGAACATAAGATGTTTTTCCTGCTGCCAAAGAGTAATTCTTTTTTCAAGTTTATATTGCATGGTACATTTATTGACAATATATAAAAGCAATGTTCTGTCCTTTCCCCATTTTCCCTGCCTTTGACTTAGGGTATAAGAGGATAGAAATAATGCTGTTGAATTTAATCATTTAAATTTGAATTTAATTAATTTGAATTTAATCATTTAAAAATCAGGTTTTCACACAGTCATTTTTCAGTTTGAATGTGTATCTGACTTGCCAGGGCTCATATACCAGTCCACTTATGGAAATCTCGTGCTTTGTAAATGAGTCCTGCCAGAATTCAGAGAACCATATCAGACACTCCGAATAATTAGCTAAGGTATCAGCAGCCTTGTGAGAGGGCAGGTGGGGGGGGTGCACATTTCAAACCACCTGTGTCTTGAAACAATCAGAACTAATAGAACTATCAACACTTTAAGAGATTATTTCCCAGAGTATTCTGGGGGCACTAGTCTTCCAGAGGTCTGACATCAGATTTGGGAGGAACTACACTCAGGATCCTTCTGATGGAGCATCAAGGTACACATCAGCATAAAGACTCTGAGAAGTTCTGAAATAAGTGGTTTATGAGAGTAGGTAAATGACTCCACAAACCCTTTCCATTTCATAGCCTTTTCCTGTCAACCTTCTCAGAACTCTTCCTCAACTTGGGGCATTCTCATAAATGGGTTCTTCTGCCTGGACACTCCTTCTCCTCTCTACAGATAGGCAGTTTCTTGTTCTTTAGGTGTCAGCTAAAGTCCCACTCTTTTGCAGAGACCTTTTCTGTCCAGGTTAACCAGTGTAAGTAAGTCTTTCCTTGTGTGGCTCTACCTCAAGACTGTTTCCCTCAAACTCCAATCCAATTTAAAATCAATCAATTAAGTCAACTGTTAAAATGGTTTTCTTCTTGGCTTCCTCACTAGGGAATGCCACAAAGGGAAGGCACTTAATAAATATTTGTTAAATGAATGTGTAAAGAAACCTGCTTCACTTGGTATAGCTTGATGTTTCACCATGAAACTCATGGAATATGCGGTAACTAGTTGGTCCAAGGGCTTGTAGTCTTTTCTCAGGCTTCATAGGTACTGTAAGGACACATGGGCTCCTGAGGGCAGTAGGAAGAGAAACAAAGGCTCCCACACGCCCTAGCTAGTGGTCTGTGTAGAACAAGTGTTTTGTGGTATCCATGTGGTAGAAAACGTCAATATTCAGCAAACACTTGTATTTAAACAGCCCTTCTCGGAGCAAGTTCACATATGTTAGCTCTTTGAATCCTCTTATATACCATTCTCTTGTAGATATTGCCAGTGAATTAACATTCGGAGTAGTTGAAATTCAAAGAGATTGAATGACTTTCCCATGATCACAGAAGCTATTAATTGGCACAGTTGATGCACTATA